CGCATACAATACTCGGCAGTTGAAAGGAATCTGAGTGAGTGTTATATAGTGAATGTGTGATTGGTTACAGCTGTGTGCAATCAGTGCAATGGATGATGGGATATGTAGTCCAGGATGACATGCAACAGTTTGTGTAGTGCGAAAGTCAATGTAATGGAAGGGTGACGTCTGGTGGTGAGTGAATTGAAGTTCATAGACCGGATTCGTGACAATAGTAGTACAAAACACGTGATGCAGATTTCATTATGGTTCTACACATTCATGCATCATAAAAGTACAGACACTGGAATCATTGAACAAAATCTGAAAATTATTGATGGTATAATCAACTCACAACAGGTTTTTCAAAAACTTTAGATAAGAAAAAAAAAGATAAGAAAAAACTACAGTAGGCCTACAGTAAAAGGTTCTCATCCACATCATAATGGATATTTTCATTAGCTAAACATCTTGGAAAAAATCTTCTGGCATGGCAAATCCAGGCCTGACATTGGTTTCCTGTGATGTCATTGCAGGCATCATCCATGTCCTGGAGAAGAGTGACTTGTTTGTGAGGGGGCTTATTGTGAACCTTCCACATCCATGTGGAGAAAAATTCTTCAGACTGGTTAAGGAAAGGGAAGTATGGGGGTAAATACAAGGTGATAAACTGTGGATGGGCCTGAAACCATGATGGCACTCAGTTCCATCGCTAGGAATTCTGGGCCCATTGCACTGATTTTGCTATGGGGCCTCCTCAAAATCACATTTAGTGGGGGGTGGTCGGGCCCCCCAGCGAACATCATTCTGGGCCCCTCTCAACCACTGGGCTCTCAACCTCTCCTCCATGTCTCGGCCAGATTAAAGCCTGCCTCATCCAAAAATATGAATGGTTTTCATCAGCATCCAGCTCTATCACTCTCTAAAAGGACATTTACTGTAGGAAAAACAAATACTAATAACAATGATATAGAATTTTTTTTTCTCCCAACAATTGATCATACCTGAACATATTCAGTCCTCGGTTGCTTCACTTTCATAATCTAAACGTGTAATATTGTTCTTAATTTTCCTTAAAAAACTATGCATATAGAGTAATGCAACAGTTACTTAGCATTTTGAGCAGTTGTATCAGTTAATAGTTAGATCATTGTAATGAAATGAATAGACACTCAATTCAGATGTAATGCGTGAGTTGCATTTTGAAATAGTAATATTTTGATGTTAAGTTGTGTGATTTTGAACCGGTGATTTTAGTTTAATGAACAAAATATCTTTGGTTTATGTGTATTGTATCCAAGCATTTGGAAAAAAAATTTGTGTTTTGAAAAATTAGCATTTTGATCATCGGTTGTGAATTATTTGTCTAGAGTTTTGAAAAATGACATGAAGGTTCTGTTATTAGTGCAAAAATGATTGTAAAAAAAACTGTAAAAAGGAAAGTATACAAAGAGCAAAAACGAAAATGCAAAATAATGATAATAATAAAATAGAAATAAAAATAAATAAATAAATACAAATAAAAACGGGGGTGGGGATAAAGAAAGAGGTGTAAGTCTATAAGGCAGTGGAGTGGGTAGAGAAAGGGGTGTAATGAGAGAGAAGATAAAGAGTGTAACAGCTAAAAAGAGGTGAGCAGAGAGGAAGATGTAGGAAAGGGAGAAGAGATTAGAGTAGAGAGGAGGGCATTGGTGTAGTGGAAAGACTGTAAGAAGACATGGACAGAGAGGAAGTGGGCAACAGGGTGGAAAGAGAGGTAGAAGGTGCAGATTAATCTCAGATGAAATCAGAGTTACCCTAATTGACCATGTAAAAAATCATGGCTTCTCCTTTAGAAGAGAGTTACTATGTCAAAACACTTATAAAGTGTTGTGCTATGATTGTTGCTATGGGTTGCATTGGTGCTATGATTGATTTTAGTCCTCCTGGGACAACTTCTGTTATTTACTGTAAATGTCCAAACATTTTTCAGAAATTAAGTTTGAGATAATTCAAGTGGGCAATCAAGATTATTTTGAATGGAACAGAAGCATTGTTGGCATGGTGATCCAGAACAACATCATCAGCCACAAAGGAAGAGGCTTGTGGAGATGTTGAGACAGGAGCTTGTCAAGCATGGATTCAACCAGCTTACATTTGTTCTCCGATGATGCAAGTGCAGCAAATATGTAGTGTAGATAAAATGCAATGAAATTCTCTTCCAGATGGAAATGAAAGGCAAGATCAATAATTCAGGATACTTCATGTACAGCAAACACACACACACACACACACACACACACACACACACACACGTGTGAATACAGTGGTGGCCAAAATTATTAGAACACTAGTATTTTCACCAGCTAAAATCCACCACTGTGCTGTAAAAGACTGATCAGATAAAATAAGTTTGTTTGCAGTTCTTGCTGCTAAAGGTGGCACAAACAGATTTTAAGTTTAAAGGGGCAATTAGTTTTTTTCTCATGGGTGATAGCAGGTGTTGGATAACAATTTTAATTTCGTTTAGATATTCACAATATATATAAAACAAAACTCCCTGTTGAAGAATTGCAATAAACATGTATTTTCATTAGCATATTTGTGCATCTACAGCTTTAAGTTTTCAGTTTTAAAGTTAAAGCAGCTTCTGCTGTCCCTGTCGTTAATCAAACAACAAAAGAAAAATCCGTGCATGTTTAATTCATAACGTAAAGAGATTTTTTTTTTCAAACTTTTGGTTAGTTTTTTCAGTAGTATTTCTCATTACTGTTAAGCCCATTTGTATCTTTGTTCTGTTGTATTTACTGGTCCTGTTGCTTGCTCAAATTGTTCATTTTTATTACTGTTTACTTGTCTATGCTTTTATTTTCCTTTAATCCAGATGGTAATGGTTGTCATTGTCTGTTTTTATTTATTTTTTTAGGAAAGATGTTTTTAATGATTTTTCACAACAGTTTGAATTGGTGGGTTTTTGTTAAATGTGAGCCAAAATCATCACAATTAAAAGAACCAAAGACTTACAAACTACTTCAATCTGTGCATTGAATTTATTTAATACACGAGTTTCACAATTTGAGTTGAATTACTGAAATAAATGAACTTTTCCATGACATTCTAATTTATTGAGATGCACCTGTATACCTAAAAACGACAATAACACTGGCCGGCGACAGCCTATGACGTCATTACCCTGCGCGATCACAGTATAAAAGGGCGCCAGGAGAACACGTCATCCTCTTCTTCGTCTTTACTGACTGTTTGTTTATGTTAGCGTTAAGCTGAACACAACTAGGAGTGCATGTTTCGCGCCAGAGGCTTTGCTCTGATACCTGCAGTTTCACACGGTTTGCGTGCTGTGCGTGTGGTGAAGAGCAAGCGCGTTCAGCTCTCGTGGGAGTTGGATGCGCTCTGCATTCATTACTTATTTCTTGTGAGGGATAAGCATGAATTGAACGCGCTCGTTTCACGAGGAGGTGGCTTGTGCTCATTGTGATGCATTCGCGGGACTACTGAGGGGGATGTGAGTATTTCACCATTTACCCGAGTTTGTAGATAGCGTTTGCATGAGTGCGTTCACCTCTCGTGGGAATAGCAATGCATTCGCAGCAGCAGTTTCCGTTCGCACTTTTTTTCTGAGGTAATCTAGCGGTTGGGCGGAGCGTGTTTAGCTCCCGCGGGATTCTAGCATACTAGTTATGCCAACATCGAGGGGATGTGTGAGAATGGTTATGAGAAGATGCCACCTGTTGAAGAGACGCTGGCCTGCTATCTCTCCATGGGGGAGGCATCTTCTCTTAAGGCTCCCTCCCTGCCATCCAAACCCCTTCAGGAAAATACATTTAGTTTGAATGGTAGGGCATACATGGCAGCAGGTCAGGCTGCAGTCTTGTTGCACACCATGGTGGTGCTTCAGGCTTTTCAGGCTGATCTGCTGAAAGACCTGGACAAAGGCAGGGTCTATCCCCTGATGAGGGGGCTGAGTTGCGTCGCACCACGGATCTTGCTCTCTGTGCCAATAAGCAGGCCGCCTTCTCACCCACATCTGTGGGTGATTCTGGTGGATATCGGGTCGAAAGAGAAGGGCTTTCTTCTTGATGTGCCGGTTTCCCCTTCTGAGCTTTTCGGCACTTCCATCGAGATGATGGTCGTGAGGTTTAAGGAGGCCAATACGTGCTCGGCTGCCTTTAAATCCTTCATTCCATGAGGGTCCAGGCTTCGGACTTGGCCTCCAGCCTATATATCATGAGCCTGAGTCATGCGCAGGAGCCATGGTTGGTGAGTATGATCCATTTTTATCTACTCTATTGCTAGTTCTTGTGTATTTGATGCTAGCCTTTCTCTGCAGTGCTACTCTGACCTGTTCTGTTTTTCTGACTTTAGGTTTGACCCACCTGCTAAGTCAGAACCTTCTGCTGTTGACCGATTACAGTGATGGTTTCACTCATTGGTTCTGGTTCCAGGCTGGGCTTCAGAAGAAGTCTCCCAGCATCAGGTCCCCAGTATAACGCTGCAACCTCAGGACCTGTGGGTCCTTCTTGTGGGCTAGTACTCTTCTGAGTACATGCTTCTCGACACGCTCCCTATCCTCTGGCCAGGTATAACGCTGCAACCTCAGGACCTGTGGGTCCTTCTTGTGGGCTAGTACTCTTCTGAGTACATGCTTCTCGACACGCTCCCTATCCTCTGGCCAGGTGCAAACTACTCATTTCTCACCCTGAGAGGTCTCCCGAGATTTGAATCGTTCCTTAACCTTCATGCACGTTCTCTGAGCTAGTGCTCCTCTCGCTGACGCGTTGAGGAGCTCAGGGCTCCATAGACGGTCGGGCCCGTGTGTCCCCACTGTCACACTGCCCTTAAGGTTGAACAAATAATCAACCCCTCTGTGGAGTGGGCTGGAGTACACTTTGTTCCCTGAGGTAAGAGAGATTTTTGTTTCTGTGGGAACCCCTCCTTTGTGCTTCTGCTCTGAGGAGCAATAAGCTCTATACGCATGAATGGTTATTGGGTCCCGCTCTTTCTTCAGATTCTATCGGGTCTGGTTATACGGGACCCACGCTCTCTATCGAGATAGAGAGCATGAGACCATGTCTAGCTGCACCAGTGGACTGTCTCTTATTGGGCCCTGCTGGGTTACCCCTTCTAATCTAGCGCCCCCTTCTGGTCGAGCTAAGAAGTGCTCCCCTCTCTGTGAGGGTTAGCTATTAGTCCCTCCGTGGCAGTGACATCAGGTAGTTGGGCCGCTTGCTGCTTCCCTGATGAGCAGCCTCTATTCGGGTCAAGTCAGGCTGTGGTCCCCTCACCTCAGAGGGTTGTCTTTGAGCCTGCCACTCCCGATTGAGTGGCTGAGGACTTCTGGGCATCTGTGAGCAGATCTCTATAAAATCCATACTATGGTAAGTGCACACGCTAAGCTTCTGTGCGCTTTCTAAAATCCACATGGTGGTAAGTGTGCACACTAAGCACTCTGCGCACTTTCTAAAATCCTGTATGGTAAGGGTTACGCGTTGTCAGCCTCGTTCCCTTTCTCTGAGTTTGCTTAGGCCCCGGTACTCTTCTTGGGCTCCACTCAACTAGTGTGTCTCTGTTGGTACATTTTTAAAGCATTGCTCCCCTCACTGTAGAGGGTTATTTATGAGCATGGTGCTTTCTTCCGAGCGTTCGAGTTCTCTCCCCTTCTGAGGAGTTGAATTCCCCGCTCCGTGGGCGGTTCTCATGGTGGTGTTTAGCAGTGCTCCCCTCTATCAGAGGGTTGCCTATGAGCATGCTACTCCTTTTCTGAATTCGGAGTTCTCCTCTCACGTGGAGAGTTGAGTTCTCTGTTTTCCCAGAGCACCTGGAACCGGCAACATCAGGCGAACTAGGCCCTTCCTAGTTTTTGGCTAAGCTTGCAGAACGCTTACCCTTCAGGATTTCTAACGAACATGCTGTAGGTCGAGCCCCCTCTCGGCTGAGAGCTGGGTGTTATGCTCCCTCAGCT